CAGCAAAACCTCCAGTACGAGCATGACTGTCTTACATGACTCAACTTCCAAGCGTGCGCTCTCTGGACTTTGAACGTTTGAATTAGGCAAATGTACAGTGCTGTCAGTCGCCGAAGAACAGGGGGTCAGCCTCCTAGCCTAGACCGTTCTTATTCTCATGTATTACAGTCTATGCAGAGTTGAGTCACCGTGTATACATAGGTATGCTGTGCTTGGTGGAATTCTAGGCTAGTGGTCCTTCGGCGCTCCGTTCTTCGCACCCGGCAGTGCTGTATGAGGTGCACAAATGTGAATTTCGACTTTGTAGTTTGACTCATGTTTGTGGATGTAACACTGGCCAGGATACGTTGACAGCATGTTTTCACCAGAGCTGCATGTACGAATGTGTTTGGGCACATGTATGGACAATACGACCTGGGGAAAACTCAATTCACCAATCCAGTATCCTGGTATGCAGGAGTGTCTCTAGACGTGGTTGCTGGTTTGCATATCATTGCAACAACATAATGATTTTGTAAGGGTTGCCATGCACAGGAATATAGCCTATAGGGCCTCATGATCACAAATATTCAGCACAAAAGTAACTGAACAGAAGCATTACTTTCCCAGCAGGGTGAGTTTTGAAACTTTTGCTCAACCCTTTCGACTGCAGGCTACAAGAAGACATTCAGCTCACCGAGTCGGGCTGTCGACTCCATTCCTCCAGCGACCCAGTTGTGCAGGTACATCTCCCTAGAGGAGGCACGTTTGCACCGACATTTCCCTCAGCTGATCAGAACGACAAGAAACTATAACTTTCACAAAATATTTCTGGCGAAGTCATGAAACGTGTATCACTAGACTATCAGCCGCACGAATTGCGTGTCATAATCAGGCCAGGAACATTGTCGACACCTAAGTACTGTGACTCTGTGTAGTTCACGACTCGTTGGTTCCCTCAACAAGTACCGCGATGCGAATGCTGTTGCCAGAGTAGACCATGCTACTGTCACAGTAATCATGGTAATCTGCACTCACTTCATGTCGTCCTTGCAGCCACGGCGTTTTTACGGCAACCTTTTTTTCGCCAGACCAGGCCATGCGCCACATGTCACAGTCCGAGTTCAGATGGACACGATATCGCAATATACGCACTGAGCTGAGAGTCACCACGCTTTTTCCGTTACTATGGCGGCGGATTGCACCCTCGACCCCATTCCGGGGCGGGCAACCACACACAGGACTCAAGTCAAGAGACGAGATCTCGAGAGTACGAGCCTCCAAAACATGAAAACAAAACAAAAAAGTTCGTACTCTTGATCTTGTCTTCAAACAGAACCAAGAGTTTATGCACTCTTGACAGACCTGATAGCTGCAGCAGCGAAAGGCTTACTCAAGTCCCTACCCCTGCTAGCTGTTACTTGTCTTGGGTGGGGAGCCTACTCCCACCATGAGCAAGACTCTGACCGCCTAGAATGCACTCTTGCTATCAGCAGCCATGATAACCAAGGGAGTAGTAAAAATGCTACTCACTGATGATAACCCCAAGCTCTTCCAGGAGTCTTTGTATCAAAGACAGAGGCAGCTAGCTGTGCACTACCTGGTCCTGGACCGGGAGAGAAAATAATATTTGCATGTATTTCCACCACACTTCCAGGTGCAACAACAATTACGTTGTCAACCATTCAATGCAATTTGGATCCTATTATACCTGCACAGTGGGGATATCCGGGTACGAATAGTCAATCCTCCTTGGCCCAATGGAGGAAGTCATTGACAGTAGTATAGTGTACATGACCAGCAGGCAGTCACAGAAGACTGCAACCCACTGGAGCAGTTCTCCCACATACATGTACTGCAGGCCAACTCGATCGTGAATATAATCCGCTCCTGTGAAAGCTTTCACTTTGAACATGTAAACAATCAATGTCATACAATCGCAATAAGCCAGACAGATTGATTGCACATTTACGTGTGTATGCTGGTTTGTAATCATCAATCAGTAATACAGTATAATGACTGTCTTGCAAGCTGCACCAAGTACTCTGTGGCGAGCATACAGTAGCTAAGGTTACAGCGACCTCAACAACTAGCGATCGTTTTAACGCGTAAAAAATAACAGAACGTCGTAATAAAAAGCAAAACAGTGTTATGGTTGGCTATGGTCTATGGTTTCATGAAGGAATTGCAGCGTGGAGTGTGGCTAGCTAGGCTTAGGACACCTCTCAGTGGGGCCCGCTGAAGCCCGAAAAAATAAATTTGAATGAATTGTCTACTGCCAGATCAGGTGGCATTCGGAAATTGTTGTAGAGTGACCTAGCATGGCCCAGCTGCACATGTGATTGTGCAAACACCAAGGTCAGTCACATGATTGTAATCAGCTGATGATACACAGCCAGTAGGAGAAAATACAGACCAGAGCAATTGGCCAGCATCTCAGAAAAGCGTTCTAGCCACGGCGCAGGATTGCGGTCTTCATTTTAGGATTCTTCTTCTTGTTCTCCCGCTGGAGGACTTTTTCTTGGAGCTTGCGCGCCTTCTCCGGATCCTCCATTGTCATGTAGCGCTCCTTCTCCTTACGCAACTTGTCTTCACGTCTTTCTTGTGCACGCTGTGCAAAGCAAAAAGCAGAGAGAGAGAGAGAGAGAGAGAGAGAGAGAGAGAGAGAGAGAGAGAGAGAGAAAGAAAGAGAGGGTGCCAGTTAAATACCAAAGAATAAAGAGGAATACACGCAACATGGCTACAGAACGAAGACATTAATCCCAGAGAGCATAATTATGTGGATTTCTAGGTGTGAAGTCGGGATTTAGGCCCTAAAGTAGCGCATTCAAAATGTGTCAATACAAGGACCAACAGATACAAGTACATATACACGGTTCTGGTTTGCCTGAACACCTTCTCTAGATGTGAGCACCATGTCTTGAGCCAAAAAAAAACAGGCGAAACACAGAAGTGACAGAGTTTTGCTTACCTCTTGGCGCTGCTGATGAGTTAGTTTGGAAACTTCTTCCGACATTTTCGATCTGTTCTTCACAGCATGCTCTTTGGCCTCGCGACTCAAGCGGCATTTCTTGACACGATCAATCGAATGCAGCACCATACGCATCAGAGGCACCAGCTTATCCAGTTGCTTGCGAGTGGTGAATCGTAAATGAGCCGGAAGATTGAATCTGAAGATAAGCACGCGCTGTGCTGATTTTAGTGCTTCAGCCGCTGCAGCCTGTGCAGCCTTGTCGTCCTTTGAGGCTTCATCTTGATCCACATTAGGAACAAATTGATCAGAGAAGTGAATATAGTCAATTAGCTCCTCGTATTTCTTTAGCGTGGCTACAAATGAAGTCGTCAAGATCGTCGGTAGCACTTCAGTCGTCTCGGAAACAACAGTAAACGTTGCTGGCACTCCGTACTGGTCACAGCGACGTTTCTCGGGACTCAGCAAGCCAAGGTCGCGGTGCTCTTTCATCAAGCGGCTGATATTGCGCTTCGGTGCAACAGCAAACACGAACGGATCCATGTCTTCGGCGCTGAGACTGACCGTAATCTGCACCGCATCAGACTTGGGACGAATGGTCTGCGAAAGCAGCTGCACGAGATCCTGCCGCTTCAGCAGCTGCAACTCAACCAGCAAGGAGTCGCAGTTGGCGCGGCCCGTGCAGTGGACGAGGAAGACGTTCTCGGCCTCGCGTATCACAATGTTCCGGCTCGGGGCAGTGCCTTCGCCATCATCGCCCACCACCGAGAAGTTATTTGTAAGCACTTCCTGATGAGCCTCAAACCTGCAGCAGACATAAACATCAAAAGAAAAAAAACTTGTTGAATCGTATGCTGCAATCAAGTAGACTCAGGAAGTGCTCACCCTGGAAGATGAAGATGCATGTAGCTTAGAACACACAGTGTGGAAAACACCATTAGAAAAACAACAAACGGGCATCATCATACGCTCCAAGACGCTTGAAGTTCACAAACAATACCACTACGCTAACATAATACCTGCCCTCCCCCCTCCACAAAGAATGTCAGCACTGGTGACATGAAAGCGGAAGAAGTAGCAACAGATTCGACCGGTACATAAATCCCACGAATCCCACCGCACCACACTGTATTCTTGGGCTTCTGCTGACATATCACCATCATGACAAGGATGATAAAGAGCGCACTGCGGTGTGGGTAGAGTTAGCTACATCCTGACTCACTTACTTGAAATGTTTGAAATAGTTTCACGCTCTGAAAGCATGCACTCAAGCCCACCGTATATTGTACGAGCCCATCCGGTTTTGCTCGACTCCTTCCAGCACCTACGCGATCTCTAAATTCTGGCGCGTGAACCCCAGTTTCGTACCAAAGTTCATTTCAAACCAGCGAAAAAGTGCGGTGTTTGATTTTCTGCAGTGCGCACACTGCAGCTGAATGATGTAATGAAGGCAGCAAGCCGTGCATCTGGCCCATAGAAAAGAGATCACAGTTGCATACTCTTGTTTATGGACTCTTGCTATTATAGATAGAAATATGAGTGTGTACACACTCATACCACGACACATGAGGAACAACTGTGTAAGTATTCTCAGTGTGACGAAGATTTCTGATGATTGTCACATGAAAACGACGTTAAATCCTTACACAATTTCCCTCTGGTGTCATGGTATGAGTGCGTACACATTATCTCTATCTATGTTTGAAATATTAAAAATGACCAATATTTCGACACGAAATTCTCACCAGGCATAGGCGATAGACGCATTTTTCGACTTGCCCAGCAAGAAGTTTCCACCGTACGCGAGCACAGCTACCAGCATGATCATTTCAATGATAAACTGATCCCAGTTAGCCCTGAGTGAGCTGAGTACATGGCGAGGAACGTGTGCCTCGTTGAGAGCTGGCTTTTTAGTGGTCGGTTCCTCTTTCACTTCCTCTTCATCAACACTATCCGCATCCTTGGTTAACTCCTCAAATCCTTCAAACTCCTCTTCATCCAGGCTGCCACTGGAAGAACGTTGGGATGAAGCTGGCTTTTTCGCTTCAGTGTCCATGATATTTTCATTCTCAGCAGGTTTCTCAACAACAGCTGGTTCCAGCTCCTCGTCTTCATCATCATCAGACTCTCGCCTACTGGTTATATCTCTAGATTCAGGTTCAGGTTCATCCTCCTCTTCTACAACCACGGGCACTACATCCTGGTACTCATCGTCGTCATCCTCGACGTGTGTGCTTTTAGGCATAATTTCAACGAATTCATCATCGTCAGTGGAATCAGCCAGCACTGTGGCGGACTGCAACGCTACCAGGCCGCTCAGCAAGAAAAGAGCCAGAAGAGAGAGCCTCGCCATGTTTCAAGCAAACCAGTCTCAATTTATGCCTCCTTTCTCACATGCTACGTTGGCCCGGATCTAGGACCAAGTAGCAAAAACAAAAACAAAACGATCAATTTTGTGGGAAGTGAACCAAGCTGGATAAAAAAATAATTGCGATGCAACTCATGAATCATCAAAAAATCAGGCACTTCAGGCGTAGGCATGCGTGCATCCTTGATTGCCATAACAACAGCTGACGCGGACAAGACGCTACAGACAGAGTACAGTACGAAAATGTACAGCAGCACCTTTCTTTCAGCATCTTAGTTGCTTGGACGGCATGAAGGAAGGCTGTTTGAATGGTTGTAGTTTTGACTTCCGCATAAAAGGGATTCAGCACTGACTAGAAGTTTGGGCAAGCCGACATTCTCTTCTACTCTTGATTTCGTTGACTGTTGTCTTGAACACAGAGTAATTATCAGGAACGTGTTATGGCCTGCATGCAGTTCTTGTACTTGTAAGTGTATAAACTTTTTGGCAGTTTCCTGATCCTCCGACACTCGACCGTCCCACATCGGCCACAAAGTAACCACGGAGTGATAGGCATGCTTTCGTGCGTGCGCCATTGTAGTTTCGAGAAGGCGGCATTCTATTTCGGACCTCAGCCACTTCCCTGCGGGGGTGTTTGCCCTGTGTGTGGGACTTCTTTCAAAACTCGGCCGACTGGCTTGCAAAACGCTCCCCTCATCGTCGCCCCATTCGTGGTGCCATGTCCGTTCGTCCAGCCACCGAATGCAAGTCCCGGGCTAGCTGCAAATCAATACCACATTGGCGTGGGCAAGACTAAAACCTCCAGCTGTGCAGCTAATCCCATGAGTCTGCTGCTACGCCCCAGCATGGGTGACTTCGTCAGGTAGGTATCCGAATTAAATTATTGTCAAGAAACAATTCGTATTTATAGAAAAGAAAAAGGACCAAGGAACTATTATTATTAATAGTTAGAACTACAAGTTTTTCTTTTCTATAAATTTATCCTTGGCTCTCCATCCGAGTCCAAACAATTTGAACGACAATGTACATTACCACCATTATTATTATTATTATTATTTTATTTTTTTTATTCACAATCATGTGGCACTAGCCAATGAAATGGTGATGTGGGCGATACTGACTGACTGGGGCATACTACACGTAGTAGCTTCTTGTGGAGCTTCGCTTGCCAAAAGCGAAGGTTCCGGTTCGAGTCCTGGTACATGGCGGTGACAGTCAATTTTTTTATTCCGACTTTTCCCCTTTTCCCCTTTAATACTCACATAATTGCAAACTGGGGATTCATCTGGCTTGGGTACTAGTCACGACTCCCTGCCTCAAACTGACGAATTTGACAGTACTTTTTTGTATTTTTATAAACCGAACCCTCCGTGGCCGCGGTGTATGTTTTTTTGTACTTCTTGCTGCTTTGCTATCGAAATCTTTTGCAGCTCTTACAAAGATGGCGACATATTGCATATTGGCATTGTCGATTCCACAGGTACGGTTGTTGCTAGCCCAAACATGAAATCCAGACTACTACTAGTACTACATTAACTGGTTTGAGGGAAAGAGACAAACGGGAGTACTACAATAATTATATACCACAATTGCTTCGATTCAGGATGTTGACGTCCTGAGTGCGGCGCTTGATCATTCGCATGTGCATGGCCACAGCTTACAGCACAAGTTATCCTGTCGTGGACATGGAAATTCGGTCGCACGTCTGGCGGCCCCAGGGCGCTGGCCATGCAGCCGTGAGCACGCATGTGGTTGATCTACACACATTCATTTATGCGCTGCAGCACGCTGGTCGCACCGGATCAACATGTGCACTGCATGCAACGTTCTGTACGCATCGAGGGCGCCGGCCCCGGTCATTCGACCGGATTTCCATGTCCACTACAGTACATAATACATGTACACGTTTTATTATGGCATCCGGCAGTCTATGCTGATTATGTAGCCATGGTTACAGAAATGATTGGTACCAATGGAAGTGCACATATTTATCGGTGCGAATTTCTCTTGTCGCCACACTGGTGTGATCTCTAACAGCCATTGGGAGATCTGTGCAGTTTAGCACTTCCTTTTCCGAGACGCCTCCAAGTAATAGTTAGCTGACATCAACTCATACAGTGTGGCATAGAGAGGAACCGTGCGCACTTTCAAGCATGTGTTTACAACCTTCTCTGCACCTGTACATTGACATGATTGTAGCGAAACCTTGGCCGTGTTGTTCAACCGATGTTGGGATGCGAGTTTTCTCTCGTTTTCTGTGTGTTTGTGTGTGTGTGTGTGTGTGTGTGTGTCTCTCTCTCTCTCTCTCTCTCTCTCTCTCTCTCTCTCTCTCTCTCTCTCTCTCTCTCTCTCTCTCTCACCTGCAGGACATAAAGTTGTACATTTCGATGAAGATGGTATACATCAAGATAACGTTTGTTCTCCTATGCTGGATACAGGTAAGGCCAAGGGTAAGCAAGATGAAGCACCGTAGTAAAGTTAATCAAGCAGTATCACCAATCCAGTGCATGAGGAGTGTTGTGATCTCGAACTCGTCAGTCACTGAACTGATTTTATTGTAAAGAAGACACGAACTTATAGAGTGTGAAGAAGAGTATAGCGAGATAGAGAGCGGTAGAAGAAGAGCCACTGGACAGCTGGATAGTGTATCAATAAGCGCACGAGGGGAAGGCTAGACAGTATGTCTCTAGACATCAATAGGTATTGTACGAAAGGCCAGTCAATAGTACTAAAGAGTGAAGTCAACCACAACACAGACAATAGCTTCAGACAATCATGACAGGCATGATACGGATGATATAACATCTCCCCTTTCAAGCAAAGAGTGAAAACAGAGGGCAAAGAGGCCAAATAGAACTGGAGCATTTGATACTAGAGCCAGCAGAGAAAGAGCGCAACCATGCGTTATGTGGAAGGAGTGTGAGCACAAAGAGCAAGACGCAGAGATCAGAGTGCGACTCTACGAGTACAGAATACGAGTAGAAAGTACGTGGAGTTACCCTAAGAATGGACAGTCCATGTCAGCATCGCACTCACGGACAGCATGACTGTTTGGTGCTGTGGTGGTACTTACAGTAACACAACCCACGGATTTCTGACTTGTGTCACGGTGGCGCTGTTGCACGTTGACACACGCGGAAGTGACGTAGTTTCTTGCGAGTCTTTGTCTGTAGCTGGGCAATCACGCCGAGGGTGAGCTGCACCACCACAGACTCGATGGATCGTTACTACACTGAGGCAACGATGTCGGAGGTCGAACAGTACGACGAGTTGTCTGAGGTTTCCGCCGCGTTTGCGAGGGGCGGTGAACCCGGGAGAGACTTGCGGAGCGCCATCTCTGTCCTCTCCGTTCGCAGGTAAGTTTCGGCCTGCTCGACAGTTGTGGTAGCGGTCTGAGGCGCTTGACGGAGGAGGAAGACTTGGGCATCGGCCGGGAGGGCCACGATCAGTTGTTCTCGAACGAGGAGGTCATCGACGTCGTCTGAGGACTATGCAGGAGCTGCAATGAGACTGACACGAGGAGCTGCGACCGGTAGGAACGCGGAGGCAGGGAGGCTGCTTAGAGGCAGACGGACGGATGGCAGACGGACGGATTCTGCTTAGAGGCAGACGGACGGTTTCTGCAATGAGGCAGACGGACGGTTTCTGCAATGAGGCAGACGGACGGTTTCTGCAATGAGCCAGAATTGCTAGAGAGAGCCTGAGTGAGAGGGCTAAACCGGGTAAAGAGGAGTACAGTTTGAGGACTACATTGCAAGCATCTCGGCTGGATTCGTAATCAAGCCGCTTCTGACACCATGTTGTGATCTCGAACTCGTCAGTCACTGAACTGATTTTATTGTAAAGAAGACACGAACTTATAGAGTGTGAAGAAGAGTATAGCGAGATAGAGAGCGGTAGAAGAAGAGCCACTGGACAGCTGGATAGTGTATCAATAAGCGCACGAGGGGAAGGCTAGACAGTATGTCTCTAGACATCAATAGGTATTGTACGAAAGGCCAGTCAATAGTACTAAAGAGTGAAGTCAACCACAACACAGACAATAGCTTCAGACAATCATGACAGGCATGATACGGATGATATAACAAGGAGCACACAAGCAAACGCCAAGAGGGCATGGGATTTCGTATGCACTCTTAGTACTGTAGTATGTGTAAGGAAGAGGGGTAAGCAATAGTGATGTAACGAATGGTGATTTCTTCGAACGAATAATCTCTCGAATATTGCTTTGACGAACGAACGAATATTCTATTATTCTTGTGATGTGCGTCGATCACTTTACTCCATCAGACTCAACATTCATGTTGCATACAGATCACATTCCCCTCTGCTTACAGAGCAGACTTTACTCAAGAACAAGCTTCACAGTTCTCAGAAAATATTTTCAATACTGTCATCCTCAATACTGTTCAGGAGATCAAGGTTGGAGCTAAATAACACAACCAAAAGTGCCAATTTTTCGAATTTTCGAATATCGAATAATGCTGCCTACACTCGAATACTCTTTCTGGTGTTGGTATTCCTTACATCACTAGTAAGCAATGTTCAAGCTGGAGATATACGGGGGGGGGGGGGTGTAAGGTTTCCGCTATGGCATTGTGTACACTTGACTAGCTTTCCGCACCACCTCCCCTAGATTGCTGATGCTGCCCCTTCCCCAAGACATGTTACCAGAGCTACAGTCACCAGCGCCTAATTGCACATCATGTTTCTAGTACGATTGGCTTCCATTCCCTTGCCGGTCTTGCTACCGACTAAGCCTGTCAACTCCCTGCCATCCTATCATCTTCAGACACGGTCAAAGCACAGTGCTATACTATTCTCACCCAGCCGGGCACTCTCTGTCTGTAATGGGAAGATTGTATCATCCCAAGTAAAATAATACTACGACTACAACAACAACAACAACAGCTCTTGCCCTTCATTACTTTAATTGCTTGCCCACCCAGCTTCGCGAAATCCCTTCTCGCACTCTCTTCAAATCCCAGATATCCCTGCTGTTGCACAACTCTGTATGCTCGTGTAGCGACCACCCCTGCCCGTACACTTAAGTAGTCCTTAATCCCTAGGCTCTGCCCACCCAATTCTTCCTCACTCTTTCTCCTTTCTTACACTATTATCTCTTATTGGCCACTGGCTATCGTGAGAATAAAGATTTGAACAGCAGCAGCAGCAACAGCAGCAGCAACAACAACAACAACAACAACAACAACAACAACAAAGGGTACCGTGAGGATAAAGATTTGAAACAGCAACAATATCATGACAATGTACCGTTCGTTGTATTTGCTGCTCTGTGTTCTCTCCTTGCCCATACAGCTTCAGCTGGTTCATCGTCATCAGTCCAGGATTCTAAATCTCCATGGCTGCTTGCTATAAATATCTCTCTACACGAGCACACTGGCTTAACCGCGCTGACTTCTATTGCGGACTTACAATGGGATACTGCACTGGACAGAGAGGCCAGGTCACCAAACTGGGAAACAAGTCGGTGAGTGGTTTTGTCTTCTGGCGTGCTACATGTTCTGCAAGTGATCGAAATTGGGTAGATGCCTCCTTAGCGCAGTAGGCAGCGCGTCAGTCTCATAATCTGAAGGTCGTGAGTTCGATCCTCACAGGGGGCACTTTCTTTTTATTCTTCAATTTCCTTATCGCCTGGCAATGAATGATCCCCGGACCGAAACTGAAGAGTTTTCAACAGTGCCAGTCCCACTTTGTGGCCGATTTTTTCGTAGCACGCTGCATCAAAGGGTTGATTGCCGCCCAGTGCAAACGTGGCGAATCCATCTTTCGCACTTCTTTTTTTCAACTTCTTCTCACCTGATTTCAATTGTGTGATGATCAGATCTCTTTCTATGGGGCAGCCAAGCTACTGCTGGAATGTTTCAGTCCAAAATTCGATTATCTTCCGTTATTCTCCGTTGTTCGAAAATATCGGTTTTAAATGCACACAAAAGTACATAACCCCCCAAGAGTGTGCAACTCCCACATACCCTGCCGTCCCGACAGAATTTCAAGTTGACGTCATTATTTATGATGCAATGCTCCTTGCACCAGTGATTTACAGCATCTGTACGGGTGTCAACGCATCACACGTTTTTCTCTGCAATAATTTGTACAGGATCAGATGGGCTTCGGTCCACCACACGTTCCGGATTCGTCTGATAATCCGTGTACAGTGCGCATTGCATCATACAAATGACGTCAACTTGAAATTCTGTCGGGACAGCACCCATAGTGGAGTTGCACACTCTGAGGGTTATGTACTCTTGATGCACACAATTGCAGGTGCAGCTGTTGCAGATGCTATTGTCAGCTGCCTCCTTAGCGCAGTAGGCAGCGCGTCAGTCTCATAATCTGAAGGTCGTGAGTTCGATCCTCACAGGGGGCACTTTCTTTTTATTCTTCAATTTCCTTATCGCCTGGCAATGATCCCCGGACCGAAACCGAAGAGTTTTCAACAGTACCAGTTTGCGGCCGATTTTTTTGCGCGCTTCATCAAAGGGTTGATTGCCGCCCAGTGCAAACATGGCGAATCCATTTTTCGCAATTCGTGAGTCAGGAATCCATGCCCCCCGTTCGAAGTGTCTTCTTGGTTTGTTGCAGATCCTGCTACTTGTACGCTGGGGTGTAGGACAGCCAGGGACTGGCAAGCGGCACCTTTCCGATTTGAGTGAACACCTGTCGCAGCTTTCATGAAAATCGCTTCATGCCATATGACAAGACCCGTGTAAAAACTTCACTCCCCAGCTCTAATAACGGTCTCTTTATGGGATTCAAATCAATTTATATTACACCCAATTTTCGGGCCTGGCCCATCATGAGGGTAGGTTACTATTCACAGACTGCCAGTGAAGACACCGTTATTCAAGTGGAGTTGAGGAGTAAAGTTTCATACGTGTGTAAGTTGTTGCGTTGGAGTTTGCAGACAGCAAGGAAATTTAAAATGACAAGTCCCCTCGAACATCGGTCGCCCCACCTCCGAAATCGGTGCGCGGGCCTGAGTAGTGATCCTTTCCTCACTTCTAGTGCTGCCAGCTGCTCAAACCCGGGATTTGACAGTACAGACTCCCGGAAATCTTGAAAGAAAGTCTCACAGAGCAGCATGCACACTACGGTATAAAACCTGTTGAAGTCAGCGCTTCAGTATCAGGTTCATTGTACCAAGAGTACATAACCCCCCAGAGTGTGCAACGCCTGATCCAGCTCTGCATAGGGTTTTGGTCGAGCGGAATCGGATCTTTGCGTCATAATACCGTACACATCTGAGGGGAACCCGGGGAGTCGCGGGTACTCTTGGATCAAAAACAATGGTACCCTGCCTCGAGACCGGCCTTGCGCTGGTGTGGAGTGTACGCATGACATCAGAAGATCCGATTCCGCTCGACCAAGACCCTATGCAGAGCTGGATCGGCGTTGCACACTCTGGGGGGTTATGTACGAGGTGAATAGCAATTTCTGGACATGAAAATAAAATAGAGGCCCACTGGCTGTGTGTTTTACATTTTTCATATCTTTTTGTATCTATTGTATGGCCTAATCCTTCATCTTTCCAAATATGTGACAATTGCTCATGCTGTGATCCCAGAGACTTTATAGCAGGATGTTTTCGACAGGCCAATTTTTTGGCCTAAATTTCAGTGTATGGAATTCTGGACATGAAAGTAAAATAGCGTCAATAGGCATCCTATACTGCACCATTTTTGTTATTTTTTTCTATTGGTGGACTGCAGTTGGCCTCTCCACACTTCCAGCCAGCAGGTCCAAGACTATACAGCGTCTGAAGTGGAGTGCACATGGGGAAGCCAACGATTCGTCCATTACTTCTTATTTTACTCAAAATTCAAAATTCTCTTGCGACATAGTACCACAAAACTCGTTGAAATGCCTCCCAAGAAAAGGCTATCAACAAGGCACCGACACGAGGAGAAACTACAATAGCCCAGCTGTCAACTACAACAAGAAAAAAGTTCATCAACCTGACTGACTTGACTCTACACGCGACGAAAAATTATTTTACTCGAAATGTCCAGAAATGTACAATGTCCAGAAATAGCAATTCACCTTGTACTCTTGATTGTACCGGTACGTGTTTCGTGGTGCAGTCCGGCATGGTCCCGAGCTCTTACAGGTGGTTAGAGCAATGGGGATTAGCTGCCTCCTTAGCGCAGTAGGCAGCGCGTCAGTCTCATAATCTGAAGGTCGTGAGTTCGATCCTCACAGGGGGCACTTCCTTTTTTTTTGTCATAAACTACAAATAAGCCTTTTGCACGTTTTACAGATGAACAAAATTCCGCATACCGTAATCTCATAGAATCCTGTAGACCCGGTTGGGTGTTGAACATGCAGGACCCTATTGTGTTTACTGCCATTTCCACTAAGAAATGGGCCCTGAAGGCTCTTCATACGAAAACCTTTTTCAGGCAAAGATCTAGCTAGTCATTAGTTCTATCCGAAGTGATGAAGCTGGAAAACGAATTGTTGCCATTGATAATAAGGCTAAATTGGACAAATGCGCATGTATAGCACACAATGAACACCCAACCGGGTATGTACACACCTATGGCCCGAGTACAGAACTTCACAAGTCTGTACAACGTGCATAAGGCCCAGTGTGTGGTTTCTTTTCTATGGGGTTGAGAACAAGCCGCACTGCATACTGCAGCATTTTATTCAGCAAACGTACACGTGCACACGCACATCCACGCAATTGATTGATATTGATATACTTCCTCCGCGTCATTAAAATTGTCGCTTCGCACATCGCAATATTTGAGACTTGGCTCGTCTTAGTCAGACTGTCGGAATCGCTGTTTTCTGTGTTTGAACACTGGTGCGACCCTTCCTGCGCAATGTCGACTTGTCACTGAAGCCGTGGTGGTCTCGGACTTTGTCGGGGCGCTCTTCCGCACCAAGCAAATTCATCGCGCTCCGCACTATTCCGCCCCAGAGCGCATTTCGTTTTCTGGAGTTTGTGCCGTCCCACATCGTTCGCGTGGGCATATATCAAGACTGCAAGCTCGGGTATAAGAATCCTGGTATCTTTCCTGAATACGAAATGTGAAGTTGACGATGGCAAGAACAAAGCGGTCTCAAATTCCTAAAATGCGCTACTTGTGGCGCATGTGGCTGCGAAGGTAGCAGGTCTGAAAACACCAACAAAATCAGCGAAGCGCTTGCCAAGGAAAGAAGGTGCGAAACTGCTTACCCTATCCCGCTGGAAGGCCGTTACAGTGTACTTGAAAAATGCTAGCTTGCCTTCATCGCCTGCCACCGGGAGGCATGGATCGCTTGAAAACGAAGTTTCTTGACCTGAATTTGACCGCGCGTCTTGTTCAGCGTATTGTTGAGTGCTGAAGGGTCTGCCTCAAACTCTGATGAAGACGTCGACCTTAGCTGCAAGTGCAGAGAAGCGCGGGGGGGGGGGGGGGGGGGGGGGAGGGGGGGGCACAAACTAAAGCTTGATCCGTCGACAATGCTCTGCCTCAATTTCTAGCTGATTTCTTTGCCCTTCGAGTGGACAAAATATATTCGAAAAATCGCTCTGGGAAGCGACAATTTTAATGACGCGGAGGAAGTATTTTCAAAGATTCTCCAGAGGCTAATGGATGCCTATCAAAGGCAGTCTCCTGGGGAAAGGAAGTGAAGGTGGCTGTTATGAGAGAGAAGGGACATGACAAGGTGAAAAAATAATAAATAATACAAACAGGAACAGCAGAAGCTACTTGCCAAAAATTGGTATACCTTGCACAATGAGGCAGACTGAAGCGGGATTCCATGAAGATCATTATATCTAGGACCAATGGATGCTATTCCCAGTCAAAAGACCCTGGATAAGGAGCCACCTGAACACGGTGATCACATTTGCAAGGTCCCTCAAGCGGTCAGCTTGGACAGGTTTCACTGTGCATGCAAAAGAGGTAACGCTAGCGGGAGCAAGGATAACACGTTGAGTAGAAAGAGTAGAAAGACACCACGAAAATATCTCTGGAAGAGACAAAGTGCTCAATTCAAGCAGGCAGAATCGAATGGTAACCACCCCGTTTCACAGAGGTACTACTACTGGTATGCATTTGGGCCGTGAAAACGTGTGAAAGAGTGGAAAGACACCACAAGAGTATCTCTGGAAGAGACGCAGTGTTCAGTTCAAGTAGGCGGAATCGAATGGTAGCCAGTGGCCCACCCCGACATGTTACTTCATGTTGATCACGATAGTAGCTCCTTGCTGTGCATATGTTGCGATGCTTGCAAGGGGAGCCGCAGGCTTCTTTGCGTCTGGCTCAGCGGGCTCATTTTAAACTGCACCTTCACCGTGCTTGGACTCTTCTGACTGCGCCACTGATGTGGGCTTGGGCTGTGCCTTTTCTTCCGCTTCCAGTTCTGACTTTTTCAAGTCGGGAGTGCTCTCCTGACAACCACTGAGAACATCAGATCTTATTTATGAGAGCCACAAATCATCATGGTGCAAACACCGGCAAAAACGCACTGAGATGCACATAGCGATGGCAGCCGAAGCAGTGGAGGCGGGGCAAGAGCAGCTAAACCGACCAAGGGTCTCGGTATCATCACTGCTCATCTCGCTGTTGTGTGGCGTGGTCTTGTACCCCCGGACAGACTCACTTTGGTGGCCTGTGTGCTCTTTGATCAGCTGCTCGTCAAGACCTTCATCATAGAGGACCGTGGCACGCGTTCGCTGGAGAGAATGGTTTGTGTAATAGCCTTTTAGGCCAGCACGGGCACACATGTCCGAGACCAGGGTACGCAAGGTATTCTTGCCCAGTGGTTGGATCGAATGCTACTTGTCCTCTGTTGGCTTTCTTAGAGCCTTGACATAGAATTCACTGCTGTCTGGGCGCTTGACCGTGTACGTCTTGAATAGAGAGACAATGCATCGCTCTGGGCATTGTGGGTTGTTGAATGCCTTGACTGTCTTCGGGGTCTGCCTCTAGGCGTTGGTGAGACCACCCTGGTAGTTCTTTGACACTTCCTCTGTGTAAAGAAGGTACGGGCACTCCCCCGTCCTTCTCCACCAGCTTGATCTGGCTGGTCGGAGCAGAGCACAATGCACGATGTTTTTCTCCACTGTGCAGTGCAAAGTTCTTGCCAACAAGGAAGAGCACCGTGTCAACAAGGTGCGTTGGGTTCCTTCCATCCAGCACGCCAGACTTCCACAGCACGTCTTCATCTGCGGGCCATATGGCCAGGGCCTGCTTCGTCATGGAGTGACCGGATTTGGCCGATTCCTTTCTTAGGCCATCCATGACGTCTTGAAAGGACTTTACCTGCCACCAGGAAAGGAAGCTACAGTCGGGCTGTTTTATCCGGACAGTTCTCTGCAGCTCAACCACTATCTCGTGAACGGTCTTGGCACAGTACCCCCAGCCGCCCGAGTCACAGACTTCCAGGACAAACCTCTGTAGGAGCCACACTAACTCGATGTCATCTAGTTCTTGAATTGGACGAACAGCCACCGTCTTCATCTTATGGCCAGGGCCTGCTTCGTCTTTCAGTGACCGGATTTAGCTCTCTGCAGCTCAGCCACTATCTCATGAACGGTCTTGGCACAGTACTCTCAGCCGCCCAACTCACAGACTTCCAGGACAAACCTCTGTAGGAGCCACCCTAACTTCATGTCCTCTAGTTCGGATACTGTGCCGAATTTCTTGATGTTCTCCACTTATCCCAAATGTTGGAAATTCGATAATCCTCCCTTTCCGAACAGGTCGGATTTAAATGGGCACAATTACAGATGTACCAGTCAAGGGTGCCATAACCAGCCTCCTTAGCGCAGTAGGCAGCGCGTCAGTCTCATAATCTGAAGGTCGTGAGTTCGATCCTCACAGGGGGCACTTTCTTTTTTTCTTCAGACCATTCATATCATACACATTGTGGACTCGTCTTTTTGAATTTCAAATCGGTTCCTGGCAGTAGCAAATAATTATTGATGAATGGGTTTGAATTTTTTTCTCTTTTCAGGCAGATCACTTCCGCGACTGATCCTTTGAATTTTGAAGTTCTCCAAATCCTTTAGAAATTATTGATGTTTTTTTCTACTTTTGTTCTACAGATTTCACTTCGAGGCTAACAACTGCTATGACTTTGTGCTGGCGTGCCTCACTCGTGTTGCCCGCACTCGGGGCATGTCGGCACTGGAAATGGCGCCACTTCTTGACAAGCAGAGCTTCTCGCAGCAGTGTTTGCTGACAGTCGCACGCAGGGCTGGTCACTACATTGACCTGTACAAGAAAGTCAGTGGCAGTGCGACTGGCTGCATCGTGATGGACCAGGACGGTGGCTGAACATCATTGTCCCTATGCTGTGCTCAGTGATGTCATAATCTATCTCTGAACTCCATGATGTCTGTGGCTCTCCCTGCACTCCATGATGTCATAGGCTCTTCTGTGGCAGAGGGAAACGCAGGAAACGGTTGACTGCTAATGCAGATTTGAGGTGGAGATTTCACCCAAGGTGATGGATGGTACTTAGCCGCACTAGATTGTGCCGTAAGCTCTTTCTTGCCTGCGTGGCAGCTAGAGATTACAAAGGAAATGGTCGACTGTGGATGGAGGCTTTCGGTGTTGTCCCAGTATACCAAGAGACCTGGTACATCAAAGCTGAAGTAACTGCCCAGACTTCAGTGTGAAATGAATCCTATCAGCTACATGAATGGATGCTGGCACTGAGACCTGCCCAAGCCGAGACCTGAGAAACTGAACGGGGAGAGACTGCTGATGAAACCGATGATTTCAAGGACAGTCGGCAAGCTGTTTTGTTCAGATGTCAGAGTGACAGTGGACAACCATGCAAGTGATGATGCAACCATCGCTTAAGGCCTCTCTGAACACTTTCGCTGGTAAGGAGCACAGAGTGCTATTTGTTGTGCGTTCTGTTCCTAGGAAATAGAGAAGCTAGAAGCTAGAAGCCTAGAACACAGCGACGATGTGTAAGAGTAACCCACTCGCTCGACACTACAATGCAAATTCAAGCGCTCTCTTCTGGATTAACCAAGCTCGTCGTTGGCCAGCTTCATCTGTAAATAATACTTCTGAAGTACTCGTGCATGTCCCTGAGCACATCCAATTGCCGAGCAAGCTACACATGCATGCTCCCCACCACAGATGTATACAATACATTTTTTGTGGCCTGCATATCTCAATCCGTACCCGGGTGAAGCATATCTGACTCGCCCCAGTCACTGGCATAAGAAAATGTTCGCCAAGTGTGGCTTGGCGAAAAGGCTGAATGATAAAATCAGAAACTATCGTGGTATTTCAATTTTCTTTATGTTACTCCCGTTGACAAGCATCCATTTGCCTTTGGAGAATCCTAGAAATAATTAATAACGTTAATGCCTCCTTACTGGCTTTGTTAGTGACGCCACAAACGTTGTGGTCGGATTGGAACGTTGTGTGCTCTGGTCGACTCTCATGGTGTCACTGTGGTGCAATGAAGCAGTCTTGTGGACTTGAGGGCTTACCATGTAGCTTCCAGTCATGCCATTTTCCGTAGCACTACTAGAATGGCTGCGTGCCATCTTACCATTTCCTCAGCGATCTGTAGTACTTGTAAGTATGGACATGTACACTGTGGTCATCCTTATCCTTGACTCCTTGATGATGTCATGTCATACCTGCATTGAGGCACACCTGCATCTTATCTGAACAATTTTTCAAACATGTTTTTTTGCCATATTGGAGAATTGCTGGATTATCTAGATCAAATTGACTGGAGTGGAGCAAACTGAACTCAATGGCTGGATGACAACTTACTTACTGTACACCTCACCCTGTGTGCTGGTTTTATCTCTGCGACGGAAGGTTGCTGTGTGGAACTGGTGCCACCTGGGGTGCCGGGTCCGAGGGCAATCTCTCAGGACCCAGGAAAGAAAACCACATGTACCTACCTACACACACACACACACACACACACACACACACGCGCGTGCACACACACACACGGGTGCACACACACCCGGGAGGAAACCCATGCTTTGGGATGAGGACGGAGATGGATGAGACCTTGATTAATTTTATTATTGGATTTCTGCTGCTAATGGGCTATTGTTTGGCAACAAGTGCTGCAATGTTTTCTCTCTAATGCCTCTGCTGTTCCATTCTGTCCCCATACATGTACCACCACCACACTGCCCTGGATCTCTCTAGCCCAGTCCCATCTGCTTATGAATATACATGTACATGTACACGTAGAAGGTAGTAGTAGTTGTTGTTCTTGTCTACATGTACAGTACTCGTATATCCATCATTAATTTTTGCCATTTCCTCAGCGCTACCTTCGACTGTACTACCACGGAGACTAGCACTTAGCAGCCCTGAGCCTAGACTGAATATGAAGAGGAATGTGATAGATGTGTTTTGAACAGCAAAGGAGCTCTCTAGTCTAGAGGTCTGAGGAGGAGGCCTTGAGGTCACACCTGACCAAATCAAGTGGTCACTTATCACCTGGGCCAGCTTTCAAGTGCCTGCACAAAAGGAAGAGTCTGCGGTCTTTCAGAAGTCTGAGCTGCACACATACGTGTACATGTAGCTGGACAGGACAGACACCACGTAATGCGGAGGAAAGTATCCTAGCACAAACATGACCAAGAGTACATATTGATAATGTACTCTTGACCGGACTAAACCGACCCACACGGGCCACAGCAGCACAAGGCAATGCATTCCATCCTTTACTGGTGTGTTTCTCCAGCACTGAATGGATCATACATTCATAGCTTGAAGGGCGCCTCAAGCGTGAAACATTGGAAATAGTCTGGGTTGTGGCTGCACGCTGGCTGCAGTACTGTGGACTCATTAATTTATGATAGGGTTCTACTGTAGATTCGTTTTTTTTTTACGGGGGGTAAGGGGGTAACGGCCTCTTTTACGGGCAAAATAAAGTCATGTAGACGTGACAAAAAAAAAATTGAGATACCATGAAAGTTAAAATAGAATTTTATTCAAGTACAATACATTGGGAAACTCCAAGAAATTCCACGTAAAACGGACGGAATTCAGTTTTCAATGGCCGATGCCTACCCCAGCACCATCCTGCGTCGACAGGCCTGTCAGGCGCCTTCTAGACCCGCGTAGCCGGAGGTCGACTGCATGGATCACAGCAAATTGGCTGCGAACTCGCACCCAAGCCATGATGATAGAAAATGGCTTGTCCCACTTGAGGGCGAGGCGACCAGCAAGTCGCTTCTGATAGCTGGCGTATTCGCGATGTAGCACCCCATCCGTGGAACAAACCAGTGGTGTGAACGACCCGCGGAGGTCCTCGGAGGCCTGACGATACTTCTTTTTCTTCGCGTTGATGATTCGTGCATACCGGATTCGATTGTACTTTCTCAAGTAAGTTGGTAACCAGTTACAATGTAGTTTCAACTACAAAAGTACAAAGGTCGCATACCGGTACATGTACATCATCGTAGCATGTACATGTAAGTACATGTACATTGTACTTTACTTGGACTACAACTCGGACTGGTCATTTGTATGTTGAGTACGTGTAGGGTCCATTGGTAACTACTAACTAAGGGTGCGTTCTTATATTCTCTAGTAGAAGAAGAAGAAAAGAGAAGTCGAAGAAACTGGGATTACTCAAGAACGGGTCTCGAAGAATTCGGAGATATTTTGCACATGTCAAGCAAAATGAAGCGCCAAAGGGGCCGCGATCTTGAGTGATGAATACTAGTAATGCACGTGTGCGTATGCGAAAAGGAAAATGCGTATACTCATGATGAACACGTGGCTTTTAGTCGTAGTTCGCATGCGCTGATCCCAAACCGCGGGAATCTCCAAGTTTCAACCACCTCTGAAGCTTGGAGAGCTTTGGAGAGCTTTGGAGAGCCTCCTAAAAGTCGGAGAGGATATAAGAACAGCTCTCGAACTTTTCGGAGAGTCTCCAACTTTTCCGAGAGGATTTAAGAACGCACCCTAAGGTTTATGTTGCTACATTGTATCACGTGGGGAAGGTGATTATGGTGTGCAATGACATTATGTGTGACAATAAGTACCAATATCGGGCTGCTAGATTACTCACCCCATATTACAATGTACATGTACATGTAGTAGAGAGCTGTGTGATACCGTTTTATTCAGAATCGGAGTGTTGAAGTCTACATGACATTTTGTGTAGCACAGGCGGGCTAACAATACCAGGGCCGGAGGAAGGAGTTTGGGAGTGGTCCGGCGAACTTTTTAGGGGGTCCGGGGGACCTCCCCCGGGAGATTTATTTAAAATTTACGTGAAATAGAGCGAATTTGGGCATCTCTAAGGCTCCAGAAAATGCAGAAAATGCAGAAAATTATAGTAAAAGAATACAAACACAACTTTTTTTTATCCGTGTCAGCCATACAGTGCCGGTCACGGAGTCCTGAGCTACTTAGAAGCACATCACACGTCGGCAATACAGTCGAGTCATGTACCTCTGGATTTTTTTACACCGGTTTTGCACGAATCACATGGACCATCCAGCTGGGAAAGTGGTCCGGCCATGGCCGGACCAGCCTGACCGGTTCCGCCGGCCCTGAATACATCACCGGAAGTGCAATGACTATGACACACATGTACATTCACATGTTACCCAGTAACAATGGCGGTTGATACTTGTGACTGGTGAGTACCAGTTTGTTGGTCTCCTGATTTGAGTGCTTTGTTCCTCAACTGTTTACAATCAGGATATTCATCAGGACATTGATTGTTGTCGGCGGCACTGTGATCCTCCTGGTTACAAGGCATTTTGCAGACTAATAGTCGAGTCATAGTCAGCACCACATAGCGCCTACAGCACTGGAAATGTGGGCTGGCAATAACCCACTATGTACTCCGAAGATACAATCATTGTCATAATTATGATAATGACTATCAGTGTACGTGTACGTTCACATCATTCAATCATTCCAGTCAACAATAGTGGTAGTCTTAATACTCCCAGTCAGTCTACACGGATTGCCATATCCGATGTACATGACTGATTGTACTTTTGTAGTACCTGAACTCTCTGTCTCTTTTTAATACTTTCAGCAAGACGCACAGTACAATAACCCTGTACTCTTGCTTTTATATTCTCACTAGACAAATCCTTGATCCTGGATACCTCCTTGCAGTCACCACCTAAGTGTTGTGGACTCTTCTAGTTCTCCTACCATGATGTACCATACCACCGGCCACTGGCGGCCAAGTGCAGACTACAAAACTGGTTCTCCTTTAGTATGTAATCGTTTACATTATTGAAGATACCCTTTGATAAGCATTCATGTTCCTGCGAGGAATTCTTGTAATACATGTGCGTGTCTAATCAAACATGCACAATGGACATGTACATGTACGTGTGTACAGATGATGACCGACGTGACCAAGACAAAGAAGTGTATCCAGAGTACAAGGCCATGAGAATACTTCAGTCATGTACATGTACATGTAGTAGCTAATACATTTTTAGGCTGATTAGATTCCATGCGTACCTACATGTACATGTATTATGTGCATACCTAGCGGGCAACCCTGGTACAGTACGAGTGTGGTCCATGGTTCCGGTCAGGACAAAAGGTTACTGGACACATTCCAGGCCAACACCTCCCCAGTAGAACTAAGAAGGCGATACCTAATCCGATAGGCGATATCCTGAGAACTGATGGAGAAGGGCTGCGCGCTGAGTATAATCAACAATACTCATCGGATACGGCAGACACTTGTGAAGCAGTGAGCAACATGTACCGTCGCGTCCACATCACTCTGACCCTGTCAGTCACAGCCACAAGTCATACTACTATGTGACCTTGGGTAAACCATCTACGTGTACCTGGTGAAAACAGTAACTACACTCTACAGTAACATTGCTAACAAGGTCACAGCAGGAGCAGTATGATGACTGACTGTACTGTAGCTACTAGTACTAGTACTGTACCAAGACTGCAAGAGTAGATAATGGTATAATTATACACAGAAGCCTTGCTTGGTAACATGTTTTTCGATTTTGACAGCATGTTAGAAGGCGAGGAATTTTCTGAATCCCACCAACCCCTAGGCTAGAGTAACGAGGGTCCGAACCTGGGTTTTCCCAATACGGTTCAAATGGTCGGAAGACCGGGCCTCTGCCAACCGGGTTATGGTTGTAGTCAGGAGCACTACTCGTCCTCGCCTTAAAACATGCTGTCAAAATCGAAAAACAAGAGTAGATAATCTACTCTTGGTACTACCTACTGACACGACTAGCTGTAGGAATGTTTGTACAGATACTTGATACTAGTACAGTATTCGTAACTAAAAACTGTGTTCGCAACTTACTTCGCACATTTGCTTTGCAGGTGATGCGTGGACTGTATGATAGGCACCAATTAGGCCCTTTCCGTATAATTATCTCTTTACCAGCAGATAGTATCATACCGTAGAAGTCAAGTAGATACTGTACTTGTAACAGAAATCAGAATCTAAAATATTACTGTTACTTCTGAAGTACAATGTCAATGGTATTGTGAATTTATCTTTATAGAAGTATGATCCGACCTTGTTCCAGTTTCGTCGACGTTAGCCAAAGTGTGAGAGAGTGAGATGAAGATACTGAAGTAGTTCAAGATACACAGATTTAATAATGAGAATGGCCCAAATGCATACCCGGGTTCCTCTGTGAAATGACAGGTGACGTGCAAACCACAAATCGTCCACTGGCCAGTAGAGTAATAACGTAATTATAAAATTAATATACCTGTACATACATGTACATGCACATTGTACCAAGAGTAATCTTGATTGTACATGTTCGTGTGTTCCATGCAATGCTTCCTCCTTATCGGTGTTCGCCATAATCAAGGTTGTTGTCGTGCATATCGAGGAGATTGTCAGAATTTCAGTAGTCTCAGTAGGTCTTGAAGAAGTCGTGATTCGTAGGATGGAGGCCAGAGCGAAGCGAAGAAGTGAATCTAGAGATGATTTGACCATTGAGAAGAAAGCGGAGCTTATCATCTTTAGGGAGAAGAATCCTGGCGCGACTCATGTAAGGCGGCATGGGAAGGCACTTTGGACTAGCACAGTCTACTAGTAGTTGGGAAAGGCCATTTTGGATATTCATCACAAACCGTTATCCTAGAACACGCGTTGAGACCGGCTACGTCCCTGCTCCGTAAGGGCGGGGTGAATTATTTTGACATTGGTAGATAATACTAGCACATGTAGTGACATGACAGTCTCCGACGCGTCGACGATGGCGATTCTCCGAAAGTAACACGTGTTGTCTGCCAGTTGTCCACATGCACAAGCAAAGGCTAGGATTGAGCCGGAGCCAGAGGGACTCTGAGGGACAAGCCGTTAAGTTGTAGGCAGGTACATGCCATGGCGTGACTGTGTGTGTCAGGGGGTCAGAGGTAGGGGTGGGATCAGGGTTAGAGTTGGGTTAGGTTAGGTTTTCACCACCCCTAAAAAGGTTGAAGCTCGGATTCAGATTACAGTCTGGGGCCGGCGAGTTATTGTTAGATTGCCTTTGTTAGATTACCTACTGTCTGAACAGTGAATCAAGAGGATGTACATGACATTGTACACAACCAGGACTCTCCACACTCCCTGTCACCATGGTCACAGTGTGTACAATCATGTACATGTACAATATAGCTGTGAACTAATCAGTGTACGTCTATTGGGAAACTTTAAATTGAGTACTGGCATCGACGACACGCCTTCATTAGCCAAACTACATAACAGCACAAACAAATACAACGATAATGTCAAGTAACACGTTAGTCATCCTCCTTCACGATGACATGCCAACACAACTCCGTCCTACACTGCTACAATCACGATTGTACAAAGTAACACGTTAGTTCAGTATCACACAACCAGCGCTAGCAGCGTCCATGCTTCAATTCACTTCAGACTCGCTCTTCACTTGCCGAACAGGATTTCGTAGACCGTTTACTGATCTCACAATGATTGTGCAGTCTGTCAGTCATGATTGTATCTCTACCTGATTGTGCTCGGTGTTCATGGACATGGTGTTAGGCATTTTGCCTATTTTCGGATTCGACACCGGTCCCGTCCGTCACAGATGTACATGTACATGACATGTGCATGATTGTTCAGCACTACGTCGTGACTGTGAGTGTGAAGGTGACCATGAACTAACTAATTACTTACTTGATAATAATTATTATGATCTGTACTGACTGTAGTGTAGGACTACAAGGAGCATTGTTCTTCAGACTTTCAGTTACTAATCTAGGCTCGTAAAGGTGAAGGAGGTATCTACCATCTACCTGTGCGGCGATGTATTGATTTTGTTGGTATGCAACTATGCATACATCATGTCCAGTCATACATGTACATACCACCACTAGTCACTACACCGTAACATGGCTACAGACTACAGTGGTCTTCTTACTGTCTAGTAAACATGGTAAAAGAGAAGCCACAGAGAGGTTTTACTGAAGCCACACATACTAGTACATGTGACGGTTACCTACTACATAGCCTAGCGGCTACAAGTACAAGGCTACATGTGTGGACGATGTAGCAAAAGCGCAGTGTCCGAATTCGTCGGGCCACGAACACTGTTACAGAGTCAGTCTATAGTCAGTGTAGATCTACTGGTCTGTTCGGATCGGACTCGAGAGGGAGCGTGCGAGAAGCTCGGTGAAGGAATTCGGCGTTGTGACAGCATTGACAGCACTATGTCATTCCTGAGAGATGGTCACAGTGGGCCATCGACAATGGCGAGTCAGATCAGGCACACAGTCAAGTGCTTGCACCGTCCGAGATCCTGTACTCTGCCTGTTCAAAGCTGTTGCAAGAGATTTGTATTTAGGCACGCGATCTGACAGTGACACACACACACACACACACGTACACACACATCAAGAAAACCTCCAACATTTAGGCAACTACTACTAGTAGTAGTATGTCTTGTGCAATCCGAGCAAGGCGAGTGTCAGTCAAATGCTACGCCACCAACCTTACGCTGCGTAGCCACAGGTTTTCAGCGTTTCTGCCAGTATTGACAGCTCAATCTCGAGGCATCTTGGACAAAACTGCTTCACCCTGCATACCAACACAGGCTACCTGACCAACCTACCGACTTTGAAATACTTGACACAGTACAGATACTGAGATAGTGGCAGTACTCACGCGAACGCGCACCGGTGTGCTCTTTTTGAAATTTTTCAGACGAAGAGCCGGAGAGCAGAGCAGGTTTAGTCACTTCAACTCTCGAGGGCGTTCAGCGTCGATCATCCTTCATAACCACGCTGGTACAGCGCTAGCTGAAATCTTCGTCAGAGCCCTCTCTAACAGTAACAAGTGTGTCAATGCTCTTCCAAAAGCAGACGAGTCTCAGTTACACCAACTACATAGCCAACCTAGTGTCGTGAAAGTAGCAGTTAGTTCGAACGACGAGCGTTTTCGTGTGAGCCTTTCGTCCACTCCCGATGAGTAGTCACCATCGCTCCACACGATGGACCGGTGTTGCCGGTAGTGGACGTTCATCCACTAGCTCGTTATTGACATCCGATCCTTCGGGAAACAAGCCAGGCGCCACTGGCCCTGGCAGCAGCAGGGGTGCCCCCAGTGCCAGCAACTACAGACCCGCTGCTGCTAAACTCTACGTTTCGTCTTCGGCGTCCTCTAGTCCTCGCACGCAACAGCGCTATCAGCAGCAGATAGCGAACAGTGTCGCTAGTAGCGGACCCCCAACCCACCTCCATTTTCACAACCAACAGCAGCAGAACGCTCAAACCGTCGTCACAGTCCACGGCAGCAGCAGCAGCAGCAGCGCTCACAGAGTCAGTACGTCTGCGCCTGGCAGTACAGTTGCCTCTCGTGCAGGTACGCTGAATTCCTCTTCAGCAAATAGCAATTACTCCGCTTCCGGCGCAGACGGGCAAGTAGTAGGCGAGGTGTCTTCAAGGGGAGGGAATCGAACACAAGATTTTACGCAGTCCAGTGCACGAGGTGACCTATCCTCGACCACCGCGGACGGACCCGGTTTGGATGGGTACCGCAACGACCAACTGGTGGCGTTCCCAGCGGCTATAGGGGACGAAATAGAATTTCGCGGCGGCTCCGCAAGCGCTGGTCATCGGAGCACATCTCGCGCATCTTCATCCGCTGCAACTCCGGACCTCCGCGGTGCTCGCGACGATCAGCGACACCAGCATCAAGAAGGCGCAGCGGACAGTGCCTCTCCTGAGCTCACAGAGAGCGGTCAGGAATCTCCTCTGCGCCGTGGTCCAAGCTCCGCAGCGCTCGCCTCACGCCGTCTAGCGGACGCACTGGAGAACGACGAAGTGGGAGCGCTGTACAACACATATCGCGACGAGTGGTCTCCCGAACCTATAAATACTGCTGTGGATCCGTCCAAGCCTATGCAACAGAAGCACCGACCTGCCAGCGCAGCGTCAGTTCTACCCTTGTCCGAAGCTCACCGAGGCACAACTAGTAACGTTACTTACTTTTCAGACGAGCAGGAACCGTCCTCAGCACCAGAAGCAGCACCGGTTGGCGGTCAACCTCACGGCTCACAGCTGCCTGGGATCAGCGAATCGGGCAGTGTGGTGGATTTGGATGCTCCGCCGCCCCGACCTCCTCCGCCGTCGGAGAGCGCCATATCATCGCCAGCTTCTGTTGCAGCTGGTGGCCCCAGTAGCACAGTCAGTGCTGTGAACAACAACAGTACTGTCAGTAGCAGCGTTAGTATTTCTACAGCTGCCAGTGGAAACAGTAGCAACACTACCACCACCAGTAGCAGCACCAATAACAACAGCAGCAGCGGTAACGGTAGCAGTACAGTGTTTAGCAGTACAACCATTCCCATCGCCAGTGGTGGCGAGAATATCAAAACGTCGGGTGCCAGTCGCCAGTTCCAGGGCCCGACGTCGCGCAACCGTCGCCCCTTGCTCAGCACCGATAGTGGTGTACTACAGGAACTAGGAGAGACGCACGGAAGCACCGCCACCACCACCACCGCCGCCGTGATGAACGGCTCGGTTGCCACGGGAACAGGCCATGCTGCCATGGTGACGCCGCCGCAGTCGGTTGCCAAGACCGAGTCGGCGTACAGCGAGTCGTTTGTTGGCAATCGGGTGCCGGTGAACGGGCTGAAGCACATCTCCCGCAGTACACAGCCCAGCAGCATCACGGCTGCCAGCACTGTCATCTCGGTCAACACCGGCTTGGAGCAGAGGCTGATGGATCGCAGCGCCAGCAACACGCCGTTGTCGCAGACGAGGAACTTCACGACGTTCACCGGCGGCTCTGGCGCGTCCACCGTCGGATACGCATCCAACGGCTTAGCGCCAACTGCTGCTAGCAACACCACCGCGGTCGCCAATGAAGATGGCCCGTCTCCCACGGTTTCCATGGCGAGATCGTACGGCAGTCGGCAAGCTATCGCGGCAATGCGCCAGTCTGGATCCAGCACACCTCGCTACATCGCCTCCGGCGAACGCACCTCTCCGCCGGAGGACATGTACTACGAGAACACGGACGAGTATCCGAGCGAGGCCAACGGTGGAACGATGCAAAGCGGCGGCAACGCCACGAGTGCTGTCGCTGCGAACAACAGTACAGCAGCAGCTGGCCTGGTTCCTGGCACGACCCACCCAGGCCCACTGGATAAGCAAGTCAGTGAAACAGGCAAGTGACCCTCGGCTTTCTAGTGTTATGCTGCTGTGTAGGATAGTCGTCTCCGAATACAAGGAAGGCACAGGGATGATGGGCCAGCGGTGGGATCTACTGGCAGTGTATTGCAACTAGAGTAGAGAAAAACTACGACTTGCATGCATGAAAAGGAAAAGAAAGTGCTCATTGCTGCATTGTGTGCGCATGGCATGAGTGCAGTCATACCAGCCCATTCCACTGTAGCATAAGGGAGAGAGGTAACAGTGGCTACACCAACTCCGAGTTTCACAGTCTAACTAAATGATCGTCAGGAGAATGAGAAGGAAAGCTCTTGGCCAGATTGCGACTTTGTAGCTTAGAGAGCGTGTGCGGGCTGGCACGTGCATTTACCGCCCTTTTTGCCAGGTGCCACAGTTTCTACCACTATTACGCAAACAAGAGGTAGCAATGTTCCTCTCTGCCTGTTGTATGAGTCAGCTCTACTTGAGGGTGTTCAATGGGCACTATTCGTTCGCTGGGGTATTACACTTGTGTAGCAGCGCCACTTGATGCACTGGATTCACGTTTCCTATGGCCACAATGCAGATATTAGAGCTAAAAACAATGTACCCTCAAACTGATACATGTACCATTGCCCTAGTGTTTGCTAAAATCACGATATGAACTGACAGGGAGGTGACGAGAACTCGAACTACTCTGCTACCCAAGTTGTGGTATTGCAACATCGGTCTATCCATGATCATTGATGGGTGTCACCCAGATGCCACCCACGCATGTCCAACCAGTACTTTTCTCTCCTAGCACATCATGGAACGAAGTTAGGAGTTAGTTCTTGCATGCTTTGAAAGCTTGTGCATACCAGTCTTCGCTGGTGATGGGTGAAGTAGCTGTGGGCTGTCTCCCCCACACACCTTTTGGACCCATGGGTCTATTTCCATCGCCCACGTGTGAGATCGTTGCAAACCAGCGTTGCACCTGTTGGATTGTAGAAGCTCTACACACAACAACATGGAATACAGTCATTTCGGGTGGGCACGAGAACCAAGTACGGGCTAGCAGATATCAGCGCCACCTCACACACCTATGTGCACACGTGCATCCGGCGTGTAAATGTTGTCTTTGCTGTCAAATTTGCACTCCTAGCGTGTGCGTGGTGTTGGTGCTGAGTGACATCTTTCTGCCTTGTGTCATTTTAAAAGAAGTCTGACCGACAGACCTCTGTTTCCCACATTCTATGGTACAGCACAGTTGTTACATTGTGCATCTGATAGAATAGTTGTAGGTTCTACAAATAGCCGAAGAGAACAATAAACTGAGTTAGTCGTAACTCAGAGCTTTCCGTTAAGACGATCCTCAGACAACAACTAGTTGTAAGGGGTTGTGTAGAGAATGTGTTCTATCTCTCCGTATGGCTCAGGCACGCAAGGTAGTAACAACTCGGACCTCCCGCCGCCACCCTCCGCGGCCAGCCAAGACAACTTGCTCGCCGATGCCAGCGCAATGACAAACGACCCGATGAGTCAGCATCGACACGAGGGCTCCGTCGGCGAGGCCGGTTCTGTGACGCTGGACGTTCTGCCCCGCGGGGCCAGCCCGCTAAATCAGGGTCCCGGTGGCACAACGCCGCAGCCGGCCCGTGGAATGACACCGCCAATGACGCACACACGCCATGGTGAGTTGAATGTTGCTGTACGATAGTCTGATCTCGTCCACAAATACAGTGAAACCTGTCTAAGACGACCGCTCAAGGGACCTGTAAAACGCGGTCTCTGTTACCAGGTGGTCTCCGTAGCCAGGTCATTTGACTGGAACTAGCATCCATTGGTCCTGGGTTCAGTGGTCTTCTAGGACAGGTGGTTGCCTTATCCAAGTTGACAGATTTACTGTACTATACTAGTAAATGCATGAAAGGTCTCTGCTCCCACCGGTTCTGAATCACCAGGAAATTGACCTGTACACATCTATTGACAAACCTGCTGTTACACATCCGTGTGTGATACTTACTCTACACTCTTCAAACACATCCCGCATGTGTGTGATACTTACATTACACTCTTCAAACACATCCTCGCGTACGCCCATTCTTGTCTGTACTATTCAGAGTCTGCACCCGTCGGCGGTCGTCCCCAAGCCAGCACACCCACCGGCGGCTCTGCAGTGCATCACCGTGTCTCCAGCCAGCCGTCCAGCGCTGCAATGCATCACGGCATCACGCCGACACGGTCCACCACGTCGACCGGCGGCGGCGGCGGTGGTGTTCCCCGATCGCCGTGGCAACGCAAGCACCTGTACCGCCTGTGCCAGTCGAGCGGCTCGCAGAGTCCGCTGCTGCATAGCATTCCGCCGAGGTCGCTGGATCGCCTCGGCCTGTTCCTGAACCGCTTTCTGTACCGCGTGATGTGCCAGGCACGATCGTTATCAAATTCCATACAGTACTGTAGCCATCATGAAGTTCTCACGGCTATAATGCTGGTTGCACCGGCCAGTATTGCCGAAGGTTGCATTGCGGCAGCTATCAAGGCTCGGCTAGCCTACACAGTGTCGGCCAACACGGCCCGCTCGCGCACATCCAAGAGCCACCGCTGTGACCTGGTACTGCCCGTGTCACGCATACATCAGTGGCTGCACATCATGCAGGTGGCCGCGGTCATATCGGACTGCGCTGCCGTGTATCTAACCGCCGCCACGGAGCACCTTGGCCAGCAGATCATCGGCCGGGTCATAGCCGAGAGTGGCCGGAGTCCCACTGCCGGCCTGCGCGGATCCATAGCCGAAGAATCGCGCGAGTCGACGCCAGTATCGCTATCTAATGCATCCACTGCTGATAGCCGAGTGCCGCTGCGTGATGCTCTGCAAGCAACACAGGTACTGAGTGTTGACACACTGGACTATGCAGTCAGTTGTTCACCTGAGATCTGGTCTATCGTGCAACAGCATCCGTTTCTTGTCACCCCCAAGGCCGTGCCCATCTCGAACAGCCCGTCGTCCATGTCGCAGCTCGGTCACGCGCTCGGAGAAGTCAGACACCCGTGGGAATCCAGCATGCAGTCGCTGAGCCTATCTTCATCTGACCGTGACTCGTGGAAAGCTAACCAGCACCCACGCGCACCGTCGGCAGCGTCAAATGTAAGCAGTATGCACTGCATAATTGTAGTATGCACTGCATAATTGTAGTATGCACTGAATAATTGTAGTATGCACTGAATAATTGTAGTATGCACTGAATAATTGTAGTATGCACTGCATAATTGTAGTATGCACTGCATAATTGTAGTGCAGTGAGTTACTGTTGGGTACCCAAGAACTGGAGGGGCGGGGGGGGGGGGGAGGGGGGGGATCAACGTTGCCACTTAGGCCGCTCTAGTGTCTCATGCATTGCTGTCTACGTGCAGTTGACACAGTATGTATAGTATCGGCACACACTACTCTTTGCTGCCCACCAGTTCTGCTGTAGTCCATGATCATGAGCATCTTCTCGTGTTAGTCATCAATCAGTAGTACTAGTACTAGTACACTAAAACACTAGTTACTGCTTTCAGGTTCATACTAACCAGTCGTCTGACAACTGCTACTTCATATACGACATTTTGGAATTGCCACTGATGTGTTATGACGAATATATACCGGTGCTCCGAACTCTGTTGCTCTGTTTCCAGACGACTGATTCCACTACTTCTTCAGCCGTCGGTAGTCCTGGTCACCAGAGCGGCCGCGCATCAGCAACTCGACTGAACTCCCTGCAGTCTAGTGGTGATCTGTTTAGGTTCCCGTCGGCCTCGGTTGCAGCAGTCGAGTCCAAGGACAAGCTTTGGGATTTGATTGAACAGGTAGGAAGAATAGTTCGGCTTTAGAAGGTACGCAAGCTCCACTGCAGCCACTTCATTACACGAAAATCGCCACAACCCTAGGCTGGTGTGTGTAGGGGTTTTCAGGTAGGAAGAAACAATAGCTATGGCTGCATACGTGTCTGCCCTGACCGTCACTTGTGAGGTCTGCTTTCAGCACTAGGGTATGTGGGGGCGAAGTGGTGGCCCACCGATTGGAACGTCTGTGCTTCATGTGTTCCACAACACGTGTGGTGGTGCAGCCGCGAATCCGGCAAACTTTACTTCACTTTACATTCTGATTCTGGAAACCTTCCAACCTCCAGTACTATGGACATGATACGAAATTTACCTTCTGATTCAGGACACCTTCCAAACTCCCATACTTTGAATGTAATATGAATTTACAAGGCCAGCGTTCAGCCGTTGGTTACTTTCATGCCACTTCTGTCACAGATGAAAGTCACCTAACGCGACCCTTAAAGCGGGTAGATGTACAAACCAAACCACCACCCTGGACCAGTATTGACACTCTCGTTGTTGTCTGTTGTACCTTGTTTTCTCCTATACAGACGTACGTGGAGCTGAAGTCACCCGGTGATCAGGGGATGTCCCCTTACATTCACTCCCCACTGCCACGTCGTCGCAGCATGCAACCCTCCGGAGCGTCGTCGGTAATCCTGCCCTCGCAGCCCAGCTTCATGCAGGGAAAGCTACCGGCGTGGAGTCGCGCCGGCGTCGATGCTCTCTTCCACTTTGTCTCGTCGCGGCGATTCACCGGCGCTGCCTACGATCAGCAGATGCTGCTCTTTTCGTCCTACGTGAAGTGAGTAGCAACGTTGCACTTTCAGGTGCCCGGCGGAACCGGTCCGGTTAGTCAGGCCATGGCCGGACCAACTATTCGGTCACGAACACGTGAGGGGATCATGTGCACCCGCCATATCATGCACAATGTGTGAATGGCTATGGTGTGGCCGGACCAATCCCAAACTGCTTCCACCGGTACTGTTTAATAAAGGACAGACAGAATCATACACACTCTCTTGTGACAAACCGTTATTATCTCTATGATAGGACAATCACTGTACGTCTTTGCTCAGTTGATTGCATGCACTATGGTAAAACATGGACCTGCTTCTTTTTTTTTTAAATGTCCAATGCTTCTGTGTGAGGGGTTTAAACTAGGGGTGAAACGGTTCGGGTAAGGAACCGGTTTTGGAACCGCCAGCTGAAAAGAATCGGGTACCCGTTCCGTAAAATTTCGAACCGAAACTCGAAAAATCTCGTTCTTGTACAAATACATGTACACGCCATGCGCCAAGTCTACTCAAGATTTTTAAATGTCTTACATTGTACATTATGATCACCGCCCTTCCAACGGGTTCTTCTATCGATCCTGGTCACTACGAGCGTGCCTTCTTCGCACATGGACTCTCCGATGTCTCGATCTTGCTCGTAAAAATGTTTTCTAACTTGAAAATAATTGTCACGGATGCATTTGGTCGGTCTGGAAAAAAGAGTGCATGGAACCGATACCCGAACCGTGGGAAACTATGCTGGCATTCGGGTACCCGAACATGAAAAACATGGAACCGTTTCACCCCTAGTTTAAACACACTGCATGAGAGTTAGTGATCTTCACTTGGGAATTGTTATTGACGGAATCGATGATATTGGCAATAAGTAACTATGGGACTGACATTGTGTGTGCATAGTCTCGTTGGTGTTTGTAGGAACTTTCCAAGTCTGATTTGAGTTCATTCATCATCATGTTCTCTTCCTTGATCTCAGAGCAAGCAAGACCCTGCCATCCGTGGTGGACTGGATTCGCTTGTCGGCAATGTACGCGCAGTATCGCTGTTGCCCTCTAGTGGACAAGGAGGACGTCATGCTGGCTGCAGAGCTGCTGCTTCCCGGCATCGTGACACCGTCATTTGCTCTCAGGTACTGTCTGGCAGATTTATGATGTCATTAGCCTTTATAACACTTGTCCCATTGTCAGGCTATGCAATGAGAAACCAGTCACTACAGTCGTGGCCAAAGAAATCCGACCCTCGAGTCAAAAGTAACGCCGCGTTTCCATTTCAATTACATGTACATCATGCATGTTTCAAAAGCCGATCTGAGGGCCACAGGGGCCGCGCGAGACTTGGCGCTGCTTTCGGCACGTGGGTTGGATTTCTTTGGCCACGACTGTAGTACCTAGTGTGTGTAGGCTGATGCATGGGCTATCTCTTTATGTGGATTTATACAGGCTTAGTAGTAGATCTACATGTAATTATTATTATTATTTTGCTTGTTCGCGTTGGCATCAACCTGCATAAAGCAGGTATATAGCCTTCGCTTAAGCTGCCATAAAAAAAGAAAGCTCACATGTAATTATAGAGACTAATCTGGAAAATAGGTGTAGTGCGGTGATTCAGGTTATATGTGGCATAACAAATGAGTCATTATATTATGACATACAATGGGATCTGTATCCACTTCCTGTATGTATTTTATGTGCTCTTGTATTTCAATGTGCGTAGGCCCTTTGCAGGATGGCATCATGTTCCAGTTGATGAACAGGGTGCTGATCATGCCGAGCTGGCCCTGTGTCGACTCAAGACCGATGAACTGTTCGTGTCTATTCGCGATGCGCCCATGGAGTCCGTACCACACCTGCTCAAGCTCTACAGCGACAATGTGATGGTGCGAAACTCACAGGTGAGCGCCTTGTCCAATGTATTCCTGGCGTTGAACCAGTAAGACGCTTTACAGTATTTCTTGCCCTGGCTGTTCGTGCCCCCTGCAATCCTGCATTGATTTTACTTGTCGTGTCTGGTCAATGCATGTGCGTCCAGTTTGCAGTTGAGACCAGAAAACGAAGGGATTGGGAGAGGCTTACGTTCCAATAGAACATAGATGATCTGAGCGGTTCATGTACAGAGTCAATATTTGAGGGTGGAGGATCCTCTGGATGGCTTCGTGTTTGGCTGCCAATCATTACATTCACTCGTACGGTTCGTAATTGACATGCGCTAATGTGATGATGGATGACTATGTACTGGATGACTATGTACTGGATGACTATGTACTGGATGACTATGTACTGGATGACTATGTACTGGATGACTATAATTGTTTTTACACTTTACAGGCTATGTCTAGTAGTGCTGAAACGATTACGTTGTTTCCTTAGTGGCTTAGCTGATACCATAACGATCGGCTAATTGGCTAAACGATTAGTATTGTAACTACATCAGTACATATACATGATTGTACATTCTGTGAATTTCAAAAAAATTACGAGTCCAACAAGGCAACATCGTCAATGACGGAAAGCAGGCGCATAGATCGGATGATCCCGCAACAAGTTCGTCAGCTGTTTGGACTGACCAGACGAATACAGACAAGACAGAGGCGACACACTGGTTGCAACCCAAGAGCTGATGGTGCCCTTCGCCTGTGACTTCGCGGACTCCGACGATGAAGTCAGAGAAGCCGGCCAGGGGTGCAGATAGGCGGATTTCGAGGGATGAGCTGACTTGAGGTGCGCCAACAAGTAACTAGTTGCTTTTTCTGTCTATGCTCAAAATAGGCCCAGACGCCAGGCCTAGCTCGTCGTCGAGTAAACTGGTTCGGGAACCGTCGACAGAACGAAAACACGAAACTGAAGATCACTTTACTGTCTTTAGCTCAAGGCTACTCGCACGTGGAGGGAACTCCAGCCCCTGCAGCTAGTGTAGACACATACTGAGCCTGCCAGTCCTGCATGCTGTGTGTAAGAAAAATAGGCAGCTGAAAAGACGACGACGGTGATCGTGTCGATGTTTCTCAGTTCGCGCTTGTACATTTACACGTGCACCGATGTTGCAAGTGTGCAGTCATGTGCATATTCGTGTCGCTTTGTGGGACCCCCAAAAGGGGGGAAATCCCGTACCGAGCGTAAGTACCATTCTACTCATTTAGCCGATAAAATCGAAATAACAGCTCGATCTATTTCTTATCGAGTAAGTAGCGAGTAATCGATATAATCGTTTCAGCACTAATGTTTAGTATTACCAAGCTTTCCTCTTGTCTCTGGTTGTTGTGTATGTGACACTATTATCACAGTACATGACTGTATTGTGTTGTATTGCACTACTCGTGTCAGGATGCCTTGTTTGTGTAGGTCTACAATAATTTGTTATCCCGTGTTGTTTGCTCTGCTGGCACTGTGCTGCAGGGTCTAACGCTACTTATGGTGGCGTGTATGGATGGAAACGAAGCTCAAGCCGAATACCTAGCCATTCACAAGCCGGATCAGCTGAACGTTTCGGTAAGGCCCACTGTGTGTTGCCGATCGGCCAATGTGCACTTAGAGTGTGCTATGGGTACCTCCCTTAGCAGACATTTCTCTAAAATGGCCACTTTCGGGACAATTTCTTAATCGCAACTCTCAATCTAATATAAGGTCACTATGACTCATGATGATATTTAACAGGGATGAATTTATTGTCATATTTTGCATAGCAGTTTCTGCTATACAAAATCACAACTGTGTAGCAGTCTTTGATTTTGATTAGCATTTTTCTTTGGAGGTTGGGTGTTTACCACATTGTCCTTCTTGAGAGTGATGCTGAAAGCCCATTTGCAAAAAAACAACTGAGTCATACATGTGCACGCAGATTGAGAGTGCCTGCACCACTTTCTTTGCACAGTATGCATCCTACTTGACAGCGCATGATAGGCATGGATAGTCTGTATGTATCGCAGTTTTCTGCGGATCACGG